GGGGGGGGGGGGGGGAGCGCGGAAACGTTAATTCCATCCTGAAATTACCAAGTACAGAGGGTGCAGCAGCCTTCTTGCTTTCGTCTATAATATACGCATCGCGTTTTCGCGTTTACACTTCCGTTACTCCGCGACACGCGTTTCCGCATGAGAACTGGAAATCGGATGGACACGCTGACGCGCCGCCTCTCCGTCTCGCCGTAGGCCCTTGGAACGTTGACAATACATCGAGTTAGACCAAGTACTCGTCTATTACCGTGTTCTCTCACTCGTATTTGAGAGACGCACAGCGAGGACGAGGAAACGATGTCTCTCATCAGCAATGTTTTCGTTATCACGTTATTCTTTTGTGGACAGCACGACGCTTCGGATAAGTAAAACTCTTGTGCTTCTTCTTCTTCATCTCGAGGTCTCTTCTGAAACCTCGTTAGTAATAATAACGTTACTACATGCTTCGACGGATCGACTAATCAAATCGCTTCATCTTCGCCCGAGAACCGTCTTTCGCGAATTTTCGCTTACACGCGTCCCCTACGTTTTCACCGTCCGCTTCGCGCCGTCACGATGGACACGCACAGCGGCGTGGCTCAGAGCGACAAGTGAACTAAATGCATCGTAAACTGTTTTCTCAGGATAGCACCGGGTTCGAGACGCTCACCGCCTCACTCAATCGCTCGGTATCTTCTTCTTCCCCTTCTTCTTCTTCCTCTTCTTCTTCTTCCTCTTCTTTCGCCTCCGCGTCTCGTGCGTGATATTACATTTTTATCTCGACGAAACATCTACGATTACTGCTATTTCCGGCGAAAACCTCGCGGCAGTGACAGCGTTCTCACGATAACAATAGACTACAACGCGGCCGCAATGGTAGATCATCATGTTGCCACGATGACGCGCTCAGATTGAAATCCATTCGACTCGAAAAAGTGGGAGATTCTCCCTTCATCCTTGTGTGTGTGTGTGTGTATGTTGCGGTGTAAAACCTCGTAAATAAATACCTCGGAGAAACCCGTATATCCTCGAATATCCCCGCGACAGATATATCCGGCTCTGACAGTCGGCATTTTTGTTCTTTTTCGACGACCGGTTAATCAGTCGCTGGCAATACGATTAATCCGCGGTACGAGGAACCACGTAGGAACCAGTCGTTATTCACACACTTCGGGAGGCATCGAGCCTCAAGGCAGGAACAAGTCCGGATGTACAGTCATGTTCCAGCAAAGCTGGTGATCCCGCACGTCCCCCCAGCCGCCGTTGCCCTTCCTGAGTTTCGTCTTCTTCGCGGTGCCGGCGATCGTCAGCGTCAATTGCGAGGGGAACAGGTGATTGCGCGCCGCCTTCAGAACGTTTTGCACCTTCGCTATCACCGCCGTCGACTCGCAGTTGTTCTTCTTATGATGGACGCCGCTGCGCAAGCAATTATTATGCATTATTACGTGTTAAAAAAACGAGAAAGTCAAGGAGATCTGCGACGGTGATCGAAAGCACGGTAAAATTTCTCGTGCATCACCCAGGTGGCGTAACATGTTCGGAATGTGTCCTCGGAGACATCCTGAGGACGTACCAAAACAAGTTCGGTATCTTATATCGATCGATTGTTTGATCTTATATGAAAGAAGGTTAACAAGTTAACGCGTTTGAAATTAACTGAATGCTAAGTTAAAAGTTATGAAATTTTCGATCCGACTTTTAACCGCGCAACTATAGTCATTACGCCATCCAGCTTAACCCGTCAGTTTCCAGATGAATTGAAACCACAAATTTCTGTTTCCTCTTAGGAAATCTCGTGTTTTGGAACCTAAAGAAACCAAATTTATAGGTTTTGAGAATTTATTTATTTATTCATTTTTTCGCTTTTATTCAGTGTTGACAACCTGTTTTGGAGTCACTAGTATCTAAACTGAACACTTAGAGCTATGTTATAGGTTGGCAGTGTTATTTCGATGGTTTATAAGTCAAAAATATTGTGCCACCTGGAGGGTGCATTGGGAATTGACGAGTTATTAAGAAGAAGGGAAAGTAAACTGGAGTGATCGCTTTTCTTAACAGCAGAATGATATTCTTCCCTGTGTGGGACGTCTTTGGACATCGGATGCTCTGTGTCGATGGGTAGGGGAATTGAATTGAGAATTCTCGCGTGAGACGCGGAAGGAAGTGATATATCATCATCACCATCGTCACTCACCATTCTCCGATATGGAAGACTCTCGGTGCTCTCATCGTCATCGTGATCAAGCCGGACTCGGCGCGAGGCGCTATCCCGGCGCCCCGGCTGGGCGGCAGGCAGGTCTGCGCGATGTACTGGAGGCTCCAGTCCCAGTTGTAGTCGTCGTACGAGCAGAACTGTGCCGCGCACTTCCGCAGCTTGTTCCACGTGACGCGACTGAAGGCCATGCCCATGTTATGCTTGCTGGATATCCAAGGCGTCACCTCCGCCTGTGCGTCCCAACAGAAGCGAAAGGTCACTCGCTTTATCGATCCCCGGAGGACGATCTTTCTTCCCCTCTTTCCCCCTCCCTCCCCACCCCTTCCCGCTCTCATACCTTCTCCCTTGCACTCCCTCTCTCTCTCTTTCTCTCCCATTCTTTCCGCGTACTTTTACACCGTATCAAAAATCTACTTTGTGGGGGTATCGAAGCTACGAGTGTACGACTATAGGTGTGACTAAAGCGATCGGCTGTTGAGACAAAGTCAGAATTTCATCGGAGGCATCCCTCAACCCGGCTACCGGCATTCGCTGTCGAAATGGCGATGGTCTCGCGGCATGACTCTAGTATCCCTTAGCATTTCGATATCCGCTCAAATGCTCACGATGATAACGGTTCGCTCGTTTATTGTGACTTTGTATCGTGCGTACGACGACAATAGGTGCGTGGATGAGTGGGTAACCCGAGTCGAAATTTTAGCTCCCGATTTAAATCCAATTCGGTTCTGCGTTGAACGGTTCCGAGGTCCTCCACTAAGACTCCTTTGATGCTACAAACATCGTCGTTTTCTCCACCCGAAGACTTAATACGGAACTGAAATTCAGACTCCGGGGGAGCAAATCCCCCTTCGTGGCATCGAAGAAGCAACCTTGTTGCCGCTGCTTCGATGTTACCCCGCAAGTGGGAACTCATTTCCGTTCTCTCCGCTTCAAGAAGACTCAACGTAGCATTTGAAATCTCGGCTTGACCCGAGTCGAAATTTTTCACTCCCGGTTGAAATCTAATTAAGCGTTCGAAGGTCTCCTATCGGTGCGCACTCCTTCGGCGCACCACAAGCGGGAAGTTTATTTTCCCGTCGTTTCCGCTCGAGTACTCTCGATGTAGAAACTAAAATTCAGACTACGGAGAATCGAATCCCCACTCGTCGCGCGCTCCTCCGATGCTACATGCGGGAACCCACTTCCGTTTTCCCTCCACTTTGAGGACTTAGAACGCAGAATTCGAAATTTCGACTCGGGTGAGAGAAGGCGGCAGGTAGGCACTCGAAGCATGCACTATCGCCCCGAGGAAGTGCGAGCTTTGTCTACAGAGGAGGGTGGGTCCCCCATCTATCGCGTCGGCGGGGCGCCGTGGGTGCGACAAGAATGCACTAAAAAGTATACAATTTGGACACGCTCTGCCCGGCGGGCCCCCCGGGAGGGGGGGGGGACCAATCGTGATTCACAGCTTTCTACAGCTTTCTATGACACCGAGAGAGCGCTCTCACGATCCCTCCGATCGAACCGTCCAAGCGGCGTTGGAGGTGCGACTCGATCGAAGGCGCGTCGTTCGAAGCCGCCGGTGGACGAAGCCGTGNGGGGGAGATTACATGATGTATGTACGTTCTCGTTCTCGCAGAGACAACATGGCACGCGACGGCAAATGCGAAGAAAAGCAAAGAGAAAGGTATGTGTGTGTGTGCGTGTGTGTGTGTGCGCGCGCAGCCAGGCCAGGCGAGAGGCAAATAATCAAAGTACGGCAGGCGGCAGAGGCGGTTTTTGCTCTAATCTCGAACACGGGGGGGAGGTGGTAGTGGTGGTGGTTGTTGCTTGCTCGCTTGCGCTCTCTGAGAACCTTCTGATAGTGGTTGTAGAGGCTGGGCAGCAGTTGGAAGGCCCATGCGGGCGCCGTTTGCATCGCCACGTTCTGATAGCTAGACACACCGCCGCCGCTGATAACGTTGCCGCTGATACCGCCTCCTCTGCTACCAGCAGCGGTGGTGATACCGCTCGTGGTTCCACCGGTACTTCCGTTAGCGGCGATGCCGGCGGCACCGGTGACGTCGTCGTTGCCGAACTGCCTCCGGGTCGTCGCTGCTGGCGCTTCCTGCCGCTTTAATCCGCGCAGAAGCTCCTTCTGCAGAGCGCTATCGACGCCGAGGAACTAACGGGATCGGATGTGCGTGAAACATCGACACAGATACTAAATGGTGAACGGTACCGTGTACACATACGCTTCTCGTCGTAAACCGCCCATGCAACGGCCGGTGTGCCGGCCGATTTCCGCCTCGATCTCTTTCTCTCTCTCGCTCTCTCGCCGTATTGAAGAGACGCGTGCGTCTCGTTGCTTGAAAGCGAAGGGCGCGCGGTTCAACGGTGGGTAGGTCCACGCGTGCTAATGTACGTCAATAATCGTCACGCTACAAGCGCCAGCAATAACGTAAGAATCGCGCGTGCCAGTGAGAGAAAAATCGTTCGTCCCCCTATTCGCTTGATTACGAATCGAAAAGAAAATCGTGCATGAGAGAATGCCGGGCGAATTTCAGATCGTCTTCTACTATGCCTATTGACGCTGCGCCTCTATCTCTCTCTCTTTCTCTCCCTCCCTCCCCCGCTCTCTCTCTCTCTCCCTCTCTCTGTCTAATTACCCGCCCTTAGCCTCCGTTATCCTCGCTTTGTGCATGGAACAACGCGTGAAGCAGAATCAAGATAATCGCGCCGTGAGGGGGCGAGGGCACTCACCTTGCGAGTAAGATCCGCAAAATAGTTGTACGTCTTTAAATATGTACCCAACGACAGCACGTTGCAACGCTCGCAGCTGAGCTTGCAGGTGCGTTCCATCAGTCGGAGCACGTGCAAGAAGTCCTCGGCGACGTAGTGGTCCTCCTCGAGAAACAACACCATCCCGGTGTGGTTCCTCGTCACCGATAACCGGTCGAACACACGATTCGCCTTCCACCACCAGTGATGCTTCGTCTGCGTAAACTTGGCTTCCCTGTAGTGGCCGTACAGGTCCGGGTGCTTCGCGTTGGCGCACTTTAAATTTAAGGCCCTACGGATTTGCGGAGTCAAAGAAAGAATTGTTGACGCAGACGATAGAAATAAGAGACCGCACCGCGTAATCGGTAAAGAAGAGCGTTATTATGAGTGTGAGGGGGATCTGCGTGAGATGGAAAGAGCGAGACGTACACGTCTGCCTCACTTACTGTTCTTTACGAATATTCCGTGGACAGTCATTGGGACCCTCGCCGGGGAACGTGTGCGGATGGGTCTGTATGCTGTGCGGATAAAAGATCTGCATGACCCGGCAGAAGTCGACGCTCTGTACGAGGTAGTTGATGTCCGGGTGCCAGATATCGTGACTGAAGACAAGGAGAGCCTGCTCGATGTCCTTCGCCTGCGCCAACGATACGATCAGATGTCGGAGATAAGTCAGCCTCGTGTGCACTTGGATGACTATGACAGGAGCGTCGCTGGCCAACGGGCCGAACGCCTCTTCATTGTACACTTTCTGCTCCGCATTTGCCCTCTCGATCTTACGCCGGATTTCCGTGATCTCGAATTCCGTGAGCGCGCCGGAGCTCGCGTTCGTCAAGCTGGTGGATGAATTACGACCCTCCTTCAGGAATCTGAGAGAGAGAGAGAGAGCAGGATGAAGGTCATCCGTGACGTTGTGTTGTCGCGACAGAAGATGAGGCGCATTCAGGGGATAACGACTCTTATAACGAGCGTCGGAAAGCTCCACTTAAGGGAAATTACGGGGAGTAACGGTGAAACCTTTCGAGAGTAAAACGCGGACACCTGTGTGTGTACATGCAAGTAAATTCTCTCAATGAATCTGACAGATTCGCTGGAGTTTCGAGGATCTTCTAAAATCATTTAAAGAGACTTGAACACTCTGGGAGCAAAAATGGCATTCTTAGAGTAGCGCAGGTAATAATGGCGATAATGGCGCTGCCACTGATGACTTTGGGAATTTTGCGAAATTACCTGTGCAACTCTTGAGGCACGAGGGAGAAAAGGGTCTCATTCGACGAGGATTGCCCGGAATCATCTCGACCCGTTAAACTAAATGTCACGTGAAGTTGCAGATAGAGGAACGTAGCCAGGAAGACGAGCACGAGGGTCCTCAGTAGAATTCCACGGCCCGATCTCGACCCTCCAACTACCGTTGATCCTAAATGTGTTATATTTGTTAGATAAATGCACGACACATTCTCGATACTCTTCATGCAACATTAATTGAATTCCTTGTATCGAAAATTATGCGCGCAGAAGTTATATTGTAAAACGACATTCCTATAAACGCGTAATATTCTAAAAATGTTATGTAATATTTTTAATATTATAGAAATGGTTCTATTGACGTTATATGTCCACTCCACGTGATACTCTTGGCATATTGCAAAAATGTTCTTAGAATATTGAAAACAGAATAATAATATAGAAAAATATATACGAATAAAATATACATATATATTATGTATATACATAGAGTTGAATATTTAAGAAATATATAATATTGCAATAACATTAAATCATATTATTCCTTAAATATTATCAGGAGTGGGCACATAATTATCTAATTAATATCCCGGAAATATCGCTTGATATTAATTAATATTACTCGCTTGGGGATTCAATTGAAATATTCTATACAAGAATACGTAGAAATACGCCTGAATAGAACAAGGGACACGCGAGTGCGAGATCCAGCGAGAATGAAATTACACGATGACGTTGCGTCATCAGGACTCACCTCCCGATTTTTTCCTGGTATATAACGTACAGCCAGGATACTGCTTCGCAAAACCTTGTATGGTCGGGTCGTGTGCTTTTCCTGTACATACAGATAATCCGCTGATAATGATGAACAAGCGTACGCAGGAGGGGACCTCCCTCAGGGTAGGGGGGGAACCAGTTTTCATTCATATCGCTCGGCGTTTGAAAACTTGCCGTTCCTTTGAATCGCGAGATTATCATCTCAAAAACTACTCGGCAACGCGCAACAAAGCGTGACACGCGTCAAGAAAATAATTAGATAAAGGTGCCCTTTTGTAGTGGGAATTTTGTGCGCGTTTTATACAGGTTCTTTTTGCGCGCGGGTTTTTTGAAAGCCACGCGGGAGGGAGTGGGGAGGACGGCGATCGCGATTAAACCGCTGCGTCTTTGATCCCATCGTTGCTCTTTAATTTACGTAAGAATTACGCACGGTAATCGATACACGTGCGGGGGCATAAAAAATGTCGGAGCGTCGCGAGGAAATAACATCTCGCGACGTACGTAACGCACGTCGCGGTGCCGTGTGCATAGAATTATGCGAAAGTGGCATTGATACGATCGATGCGCGTCCATTCGATAAATATCGCGCCGAGGATAAAAGCTGCCGGCCGGCTGCACGTGCGGGACAATGTGTGACAATGCAGTGAGCGCGGGCACAATAAAACTCGTCGCGCAAATATACGGGGAGAGGCATTTGCATTCGTCGAATATTTGGCGAATGCGATCGCATCGCCCGGAGGATCGTGTGAAATGAAAACTACATTACCGGGTAATACGTCGGTTAACACGAGACAGGGAGGTCCCCGAACATTATGTGTATATGTGCGTGTGTGTATGATGCGTGTACGTGCCATTCGTCAAATATTCGATGCATACAAACGTGCCGCGTTTACGTAACGAATTTTACCGCATTATCGTACGTAATATTGTCGCGGCCGTGTATTACCTCATTTCACGTGACGACAAGGCACGTGTATCGACTCGATGAATATTTTTCAAGCGTACGAGTCGTTCAGAGAAGCTTTTACATAACGTCGTTCGGAAATCGTTCCACATACGAGAGAGAGAGCTCTCGTGTGTGTGTGTGTGTGTGTGTGTGTGTGTGTGTGTGTGAATATAGGCCTCAGGCTATTTTTCGACTCACCTTTCATAGTGTCATTCCTAGGAGATCGTCCTGAAACAAACAACGTCCACACGGAGTATCAGCGAATTGCGTTGTCGAAAAGCTCACGAAGCTACACCGAGAGGTAACGCGAGACGATGATGTGGGCTTTGTACGTGCATCGACTGTACGTACACGAGCGGAATTTAACATTCTCCAACGAATGCGAATTCGTCTTATACATTGAGTAACGCACTGTTAAATATCGCACTTCTGCGGTACGCTCGCTCGCGTGGAAGAAGGAAACACTCCGAGTGCACACGCCTCGATAACAGGAAAAAAGATTATCGGCCAGTTGCGATAATTACATTTCGTGATTGTGTGTTTTGCAAACAAAATGCACGTTTCGTGAATAATTTATATCCCTATGATAATAAAGATCGCTGTGCGAGGTACCCGTACTACAGCGTTTCATTCGCCGAACCCTGTTTTTGTCTTTTGTATATAAACGAAAGGAGGAGACATTTTTAGCGAAAAATCGAACTTTAACTTCGAATCGTTAATAACCCGATCAAAAGTTAATATTTAGAAAAATCGGCAGCTATACAAGTCAATGTGTTCAGCAGAAAAAGTTGTTCCTGTGAAACACATTTTAGTCAGATAAATAGAAATACTAAATCTAAAGAAACCTTATTCTCTGTGTGCCTTTTGACACGTCCTATATGAGGTCAATGTTCTTTCAATCTCTCTCTCTCTCTCTGATAATGCATATTTATTCAAGTCGTTGCAGACTACCTAACATACATGCGCGATATTTCCGAATTTTCTCAAAGCGTCGAGCGTACGTCCGTTAGAATACACGTGAAACGTCCCGGACGCTATTCTAATAAGAGCGTTTAGACGCGATTTCCTGCATGGCAACATAATTCGCGGATTTAAACGTTCGAGCTACACTTTAGGTGCGACGAAGTTCTCACGATGACGCACCGAACCGGTTATCGTTATATCATTATGACGAGACGTCTAGATACGGATTTTCCAAAGACTTTCCCATCCAGTTTACTTTAACGCGGGATATCATGGAAATTCTTGAAATTTGTCCGACCACCTTTTAATAAGTGTAAAAGTTCTTACGGCGGCACTCGGAGCACTAAACAGCCACTCCAGTCGTCACGGTGCCGTTACCCATTGATAATGCAAACGCTAATTAACCGATTATCTATCGACGTTTTAACGTTAAACGGCAGTTAACGTTAACGTAGGCAATTTGCGCGATAATGCCAAGTCATCTTGTCGCACGGTACTGTTTATCGTCGGCCGACGATACGCGCGGCCGATGTCTACCATAGATAAGAGAGCGTCTGATCTGTCTTATCAGATATAACTTTCCGACCGATCTTGCGCGAGCGTCGCGCTCACACATACACACCACCCACGTCGTCGTTACGTAAAGAGTTCAAGTACAATGTTCCCGTGACGAAGCAAAGATAAACACACGCAGCTTCCGTACTATCCGTGATAATGTATTCATGGTGCGAAACACGACGTCACTCTCTCGTTCTTTCGCGCGACCGCGGAATGACAATCCAACGGTCGGAAAGGTCGAACATTACTTGAATGACTAACGTTAACAATGCAAGTGCGAGCGTTTTGCATTACGAATCCTTCGCCGCTAAAAATAAATCGTCCTCCCGCGCGAGAAAGATCGCGCCGCTTTATTTCCGACTTCTCGTCCGCATTTTCTTGCCCGAATGCGCGTGTATCAAACTGATTTAATAAGACTTGAAGAGACGTTGTGTAATTATTTTAAGACGGTTTCCCTCCTTGATCTGCCTTAAAGTTAAAATCGAAATTTGAAGTTAAAATCGATATTCCCGATTCACTTGAAATTATCACACCTTCGGGCTTCTTAATTGGAAGGTGCGCTGAAAAAAATGTCGGGAAAGTCGGGAAAATTATTTATGATTCGTCTTTACAATCCGATAGAGTAATTACTTGGGTGATAAGAAGAGAAACGAAAAAAGAGAGAGAAAGCGATGGATTCCATGACGGATTACCTCAATAATGATGACACGGGTGCGCAAACCGCACGCATGCGCTAAACAGTAAACGTGATCCCATTATTTCGGATCAAGCTTCGAAATCATTTTTGTCATCTGACTAATGACACCGCTTATTAATGCCGGGGAATAATCACGCCGGACGCGAATTTCGAAATGATCGCCCTTAATCTCTTTAAAACTTAAAGCGACTCCATGCACTCCGCTGTTATGAATCACGTTCGGCAATTCGCGGGGATATAATTACGCGAGTACGGGAGTGTGTAACACGCCGCGTACAGCCAGCTCGGAGAGATTTGCATATACGGCCAAGCGTATGTGCTAGGTATACATTTGTAAAGACGCTTATAGGTAAAATGCAACGTTGTCTAAGCGCACTTTGCGCCTGACCGTTAATCACCAAGATTACTAAATTGACAAACGCGATATGTTTTCTTCTTCCTGTCATTCATCTTTGCAACTTGGCAGTATAGTTATTTTGAAGATAAGAAGAGAGAGAGAGAGAGAGAGATGGAAGACGCAATATAAACGAGACCGAATAGGAAAGATGTGGAAACGGTCGTCGAAAACCGACGATAATTCTGCCTGCGTGTGTCTTCAGGAGAGGATTTTACGCGCTCCGCAAATGTCACTCTAATTAAATGATACATTTAACTTTACGACATTTTCTTAAGACACACACTCTCTCCCTCTCTCTCTCTTTCTTTACCGTTGAAATGTGAATTTCCCTCGTTTACACGTGTCAACAACTCTCTTTCACGACTTGTTTCTTCTTTCGCATCTTGTGTGAAAATTCAAGTCCCGATGAATTGCATAGACGCGCCTCTCTGTTGATATAATTAAGGGATCCATCCGCTCGAGACATCCTATCCGAGTAGCGATAAAGAGCGTTCCGTGAAAATAATGCGGACTTAAGGAGACGGAAATATCGCGTTTCTCATCCCGCGAATTCAATCTGCGCCTATCGCGACAGATAGCGCGCCCGGATGACGTCATGTGTATGTTAACATCAGTAGTGCACTCGATTACGTACGTGCGGATGGCGGACGGACGTATAAAGGGACGGGCGATCGATAGGAAGATAGAGAGATTTGAGATTACGGATGGGAAGAAGTCGAAATGCGACGCGCCGGGTTGCCGGGATGCTTCCAGCTTTCGCGAGAAATTCCGGATCCCTCTCTCTCCTCCCGCCGATTTAGTCGTTATATTTATCGCGCGGCGACAATAAAAAAGTCACGGCTCTCTCTCTCTCTTTCTCTCTCGCTACGTGCAAGACGTCTCGGCACGGTCGTCTCCGTCCGTACACTGTCGCCGAATTCCGCTCGCGTATCTTCGATCCGCCTCGCCTTTCTGGCACGCGTTCAATTACGAGCGGCGAACTTCGATCCGTTCGTCTCGCACTCGAGGACCCGTTTCTCCCGTCGATATTGTACAGCCGGGACTTTTTGACATTTCGCTCGTTTCAACGCGGCGATATGGAAAGTGGACAACCGGTTCCGAAAACTCGGATAAAATCGGTATACTCTTCGCTTCGGACGATAATCGACATCGCGAGTTATACAATGTCGAAAGTGATTAAGATGCGACGCTCCTTATCTGAGCAACGAGTTGTGATTCAAGATTGGGTTGCTCTTGGGATAGAGTTGCCTAAAGCGGGGTCCACAATGAGAATTCAAGGCGTAAGATTTAAGAAATCGACCAATCGTCGGTGATTTTTCTTCTATGATTCGATTGTGATTGGTCAATTTCTTAAGGCTTACAGTTTAAAACATCTATTGTTGACCGGGACTAATGTCGTACCGGTCACTTAAATCGTACATAACATAACCAAAACTTTGACAAATTGCAATGTCTTCGGATCAATTGAAAAATACCATAAGAGTAGTACCGATTTTGGCGACTCTTCCTTACATACATCGTGTACGTAGACGATGCGTCGCTTCTGCTCGATTTAGAAACGTCCGTCGCACCTCCCGCGGTAATGAATCCTCTAACATGAATATCGTTGTTGCTCAAATCGCGCGTTAACGTTTCTATTAAATCTAGAAATTTTCAGTCGCACTTCTCCCTCATACTCTTCCCGTTTCATTCTTCCATGAAGCGAGATTACGCCAACCTATCCCGAATATCTTTCCAAGTATGGGAAAGTTGTGTACTTGTCTCGGCGTTACCACGAACATTATCGATAGATAACATTATTGACGATAGAATCCACTTCAAGCTACTACTTTTTTTACGTTTGATAGACTTTTAATCATGTCATTACCTTGTTGAAGAGAAATAACGCATCGTCCGGCCCTTCATTTTCACGAAATCTGAAACACAGCATATCGATGTATGGTAAGCGAGAGAATGCTCAGAGATGTTTAAAACAATATTGTATATTTCTGCTTAACAACGCAGCTTTTACGAAACAAGCTTTCAATTATTTCCGTCGCTATTCAACACAAAGTTTACATATCGCAGATTTGTTTACTAACTGATATTTCAAATCTTTAACAAGAGCTGTTTTGTAACAATAAATGTAGACCGTTTAACTAAATGTACGAACTTTTAACGGTTTAACGTGCGAGATTTTAACTAAAGTATAAATGTGAAAGAGAGAGGAAAAGACGGAAGAGTCGGGGCGGGAAGCTCACGTGCTCTTCTTTTAATTATATTTGTAGGTTAATCAACCGATTTGTTAAGAGATAAAAAAATAAATTACATGCAGGATCGCGATCGCTACATAGACGGGGAGACATAATTGAATGCAACCCATTACATTATTATTTTCGCCTTTCAGAACGCTGTTTATCGTCGTTCAGCGTCTATAAAAAGATTATAAAAGAAGCATGAAACGTCACGTCATTTAAGTGAAAGGTAACGGCATATACGAACGATGTAGTACAAAAAATGGTCAGATGTGTGAAATTAAAAATACTTTAGAGAGAGAGAGAGAGAGAAGTTGCATACGAATCGAGGATTACACATACACGATATCGATTCAATTTTGTTCCGCTTAAATGGACCTTCAGATAGCCTTCGCAAACGTGTCGGTATAATATGTATTAATACATTTATGAATGAAGCCTCCCGATCACGTTTTCTCGTAATCTTGTCCATGAGAATGCGTGAAAAACGCATTTTTATCTCGCGATGTGATCTCGAGATATAATTTCAACGCACGTTCGCACTTTGATGTTTATCGTGGGAAGGGGCGAATACACAAACGATCCGAAATGACTTTATCGCCTAATCAAGGATCATGTATACGCGATCATGATTGTACTCTTCCGTGTAATACGCGTGTTATCACGCATTTAGTTACCGTTCGCTTATCTGACCTATACCATAGCGCGAGATAATTTCGTTGAAACGCCCCAACAAAAGCGTCCTTTTATTTTTTTCTACCTCTATTTATATTGACGTATTTTCCATAAACAGGTCGTTTGTATGTGTCTCGTACACGCCGCATTCTTTGTATATTCGATCTCTTATTCCTCTCTTTTTCTCCGGAGATTTCTTCGTAAAATATTCGCGCGAAAATATTTCTCTTCTCGCAAAATAAAAACGAAACAACCGGTTTCTCGCCGAGAGCCGGCGTCGTTCCATTTTCTCGCGATAAACGACTCGATTAGCTGACAAATTGATAAAAATAAAGATACTCTCGATATAAACTTTCGAAACATTTATATCGTTTCCTTTTCTCATTTTAAATACGTGCATATTTTCAAAAGTCGTGAGATTGCAATTTATTGCTTTACATCTTATAAAATCAGGAAAAAGACTTCAATAGTAAGCTCCTTGCGGAGTTAACGACTGAGAAATTGCAGGAATTTTTGAATTCTTTGCTGTGACGTAATAAACGTGAATAAGGTATATTGAATTTCCAGCGTGTTCCTTCCATCCATTTATGGATTCTTCCATCGACTAAGTTATATAAAGAACGTTCCGTAATTCGCATTAATAGAAAGAAAGAGGTTTGCTTTAACCTTAAACGTAAAGAACAGTTAGATTGGAAAATGCCAATGAATACAACCTTGTCTTCCTCGTGATTAACAAGATAAACGATTCATTCAATTTGAAGCTAACGTAATTCATCGAGGAACTTATTTTTTGGTTAATTTAAAGCAGGTATTATTTTAATGGAATTCTGATACGAGGTACAATTATCAGTCACTCATTCGTCGAGACCGAGAAATAATTTTCGAAAACGCAAAGCAAATATTTCACCTAGGAATTTTACCGAAAATTTTACTGAAAATTTATCGAAAAATCCGGCGGAAGAGGAAACGTGTACTCTAAATATGCGAAAGAATAAGGAAAAGAAGATTGAAAGCCCTCGCGTTTTCCTATACATCGTCGTCGGTTTCTGCTTCGCGCTGTTCACACGATTCATCGCGAATTCAATTACGAAGGCACGTAGATACGATAATACGAGACGGTGTGTAAACATACCATTTTCACGCTAATCGGAACGAAAGGTCGTAGGCGGTCACCGGAAATTCGGAACCTTTCATCGACGGGTGCCTGCCGGACTCTAAACGCTTTTGACGGTTGCACCGTCTATTTCTGTGTTTCCTAGAGAAGATGCTATAGTTGTTATCGCGCCAAATGGCGTTGCTACCGTAGGCTACCGGTGAATAATGCATCGTATCGTCGTATCGCGCACATGCACATATGTGAGACTATCCTACACGTATGAGCGAGCGGGAATGAAGTTTGTGGGTGTCTGCAGATATGTCGCAGCCTTTACATGTGCGCAAAACGCGCGCGTGTGCGCCTATGTGCGTGTACTAGTATGTATGCGCGTGTGTGTGTGTATAGTCATGCTTCATGCAGAAATATTACTGCAGTGTCCCTGAATATTGATTCGCTAGTTGTATTAAAAGTGTGCAGTATCTTTTTTTTTTTCTAATTTGACGCCGCATATCTCTCTCCTTCTCTCTCTCTAATCGCTCTAGTCACTTCCTCGTTACGTATCAGGATAGGCAAGCGCAGCTCCGAAGAAATTGCGGGAAGTTTGAAATGATTTTCATAATCGCACGCCTCATTTAGTCGGACGGACATCGGACTGTTTCCGCATCTCGTGACTCTAATTTTGACGGCGAATTCCCGGATGAATTTAGAGTCAATTGACTCTCGAATTACGAGTTGCCGAGTTGTCCCGACAGTTTACGATGCGGGTCGCAATGAAACCGGCCGCATAGAAAATTTTCTGTGATCTGATCGGAATCTATTCCGATTTCCCGAAAAAATGACGGATTCTGATTGGGAAATGTATGAGGATTCGGACTATAGGTGTAATGTTCCAAAAGTGCGATTCTATGTGGAAGACCCAGACGGATTCTATTTGCTCTGCCCGACATTTTCCGAAAGTTTTCTTATAATTAGGTTGAGAATTCTTGGACTAATTATAAGAAAACTTTCGGGAAATCTCCTATTAGTAGGATTCCTAATTTACATCGCAATATGTTACACTGGTTTGGGACTAAGTTTCGGGTAATCTGAATCAGAATCTAAGCAATATTTGGGAATGTACGGGAAATTTCCATACGGATGTCCCACCCTGCTGTTTCGTTTCCCACACGAGCAAGCGTCCAAACGTATCCGAATCGCGGCGGATTTGTCCCGATCGAGTTCTCGCCGAGTGTATATTCGCGCATTTCGATGCACCGTAAATAACGTCGATTCCCGAAACCCCGAATGATAAAAAAGGACGGACGCATTTCCACGTGTCTTCGACAACAACAGCCGCGAACACAATCGGGAACGACGAGGCGCGAGGCGTCCTCGGTGACGTCCGTTTACCGTCGCCGTGTTCAAGGAGCGTTGCGAAAAATCGTTATGCATTTTCAGCCAAGACGTTTCCGATGTTACGATGCATATGCGCGCGCGCATATTCCACCGGGTGGACGAGATTGCACTCTCGGAGGCTCTCACGGAGAGAATGGATAAAGCCTGCCTCCGACGAGACGCTGTTTTTCGAACGTGTTTTACAGGCGCGACTCGCGCCAGGAGTTTGTCCCGCTTCACTCGAGATGATATTGTAATAGGCTCGCGTCACACGATGTTACACCTCGTGTATCCCCCTGGCCAATCCCTCCTCGCATACTTTTCCTCTGATTATTTACTCCCGCCGCCGAAGAGACGCCGTCCACGCTGCTCTTTATCGCCACGTCGCGCGGAGAAAAGAAATTTTACCGGAATACAGCAAATGCTCGTCAATATAGTGACGGCAAGAAAAGATTTGTTCAGAGGGCAAAAAAGTTTCCACCTCGACAGCGGAAAGATTTGTTAAGAGTATTAACTGTCCGTATTATCCGGCGAATAGCAATTAATCACAATATTGCGAATGCCAGAATTGATTTTTCGCGAATATTTGCGGGACAGAAAAATCGAGGTTGAAAATCGCTGGATTCCTCCGATGCTAAAGAAGCATCACGTGATTATAGTAAAAACAATTTCTTAAATTCAAGACCATTTTACACTAACGCTCGGCAATTCGCTTACGAAATAATGTCAATTACTGCGTTCGAGCAGTAGTTGTTATAGTACTTGTTATTAAAATATACCTAAATTAATCACAAAAATATCCCTTGATTTAAGGGGCTGTGAGCGACAGGTAATTGTGTTCGCTTGATTCCAGCCGTTTTCCCGCTCGCCGAGCGTCAACCACTTCGGGGAAACGACGACGCTCGGCGTCTTCGCGGTGGAGGTCTGGCGGAAAATCGAATCGCCCGACATTTCGAGAACACAGCCGCGCGATCGGCCGTTTAAAGGTTCGCGTTCACGGACGGGGTAAGATTCGTGGGATGTTCGGGAACGCGGCGAAATGCGGTCTCGCGCGCGCGGAGTCGCGGTAAAATATATATCACCGGAAAGATTTGCCGATATCTCGCGGCAGGAAACCGCACCGACTGCCGGACGGAACGTTATAAAAGCCGTATCGCGTTTTCTCGGCCGCGCGCTGCCCGCCGTATTGACGCGGCCGAGTAATTAGCTTCAACCTCAGGGCCGGATGAGGCCGGAAACTGCGTGTTTCGCCGCACGGTTATAACGGCACGGTGAGGGATTGCGGTATCAGCGATACCAGGATTAGATAGAGAACGGAACGGCCGAAGGAGAACGAGACGTTCGTCCTGCCCCTTATCACGCGTGCTCTTCCCGGCTCTATGCATATTTCACCGTTCGCGGGAAAGGAACTGGCGTGCGTCTCGAGACCATGCAAATGGAGAAACGCAAGGCCGAATCGGCCCACCCGGAGGAGGTGGACGCGCGGAGAGGAAAACAACGAGGAGCAATCGATAGAAGAAATAATCCATATTAGTGGGCGAGAAGCATCACGGAAAGCGCGCGCGCTTCGTGCACGGTTATAGCTGGGATATATCGTGACACCACGAAGGTATCGGGACCGCCAATATTGAGAACGAGTATTTGATCAAGAGTATCGATGTCGTCAGCGATACCAGTATCAGGACAGAAATATCGTTACTTCTGCCGGTGCGATCGTTTCGTACGATTAAGGGCGTAATTAGCAGACGCGCCTGGTATTCGCATTATCGAGGGAATATCGGAGGGGGGGGGACGATGATCACAGCGAAATCGGAGAAGCCGGAACGACGAGGACAGAGGCGAGAGGAATCGAGAAATCACGTTAGACAATTTCCGCAACGATGCATTCTCCCTCGCTCCAATCGTTAAAATCGCGCCATTAGATTGTGTAATCGCGCCAGTATAATAAAATTCTCTATCTCTCTCTCTCTCTCGCGCGTGTGTGTGTGTGTGTGTGTGTCTTTCTATTGATAAGTGAAACAGTTCACCCACACCGCGTTATTGAGTAACGATGCGACACGATGCGGAACCGCATATAGGGTGTTTGCTGACAGACGTATTCGATGAACTCAATAGCCCTCCCCCTCCCCTCCCCTGTAAAAACGGATGTCGGTCCATCGCGGAAAATTTCGCATCGAACGCTCGACCTTAGAACTTAGTCAGCGCAATTAAATCCTTCGGTAATTTTCGACGATGAATGAACGACGCTGACGAGTATTCTGACGTTTCCACCCCGCGAAATCATACGAACGATCGAGTTTGTGCCCGGTGAAAAGGTTGACGGAGAAACGAGTTTCCGTTGATCTCGGGAGGGTTTCCTTCTCGCAGGAACCCCCGGGGTTCGATCACAACTCCGAGAATCGCCGAGGCCTCGAGATTTTTCCTGAAACACCTCGTCCGCGATTTCTCCACTGAGGAGGAATAATACATTGTTCCCTTCATCGAATACGGTTATTATTCAAATGTCCTGCACAGACGAACGCTGTGTTTACGTCGTACGATAAGTAGGCCCTAATTCCAACGCTGTGTGCTGGGAGAAGTGTCAATAAACACGGCCGTGGCTGTGAGAGGTGATAACGAGCGTTAATCGAATCCTCGGTCAAACAAGCGCGGTCAATTAACGTTCCGGCCGAGCGGCGAAATTCGACGTTTGCTCTTCTCCTTCGCGATAAAAGATCCCCCGAGTGGAGGATGAAACGATTGATCTTAACTCGGACTAACCCTTACGAGCGAAAGAAAGGAAGAGAGAACCTCTCTGTCTCTCTCTCCCTCCCTCTGTCCGAAGATTGATATATCGGGGAAACCGATCCTCCAGGTCAACGACCGGCGAGAATGCGAGCGGGCGCGGATACGACTATCAGTAAACGAAAGAAAGAACTAGGAAAAAAAAGAACTAGAAAGTAAAGAGAGGCCTCACCTGTTTCGGCCGCGTCGTAAATAAAAACAAACCTCCGGCTGGGGAGATTCCTCGCGTGTTTCTCGCGAAGAAAAATGATTTGAAATCGCCGGGACGAGAGCGACGTTACCCTCCTTATCAGCGTTAGAGTTTAATATCGATCGGCCGTACCGGACTGTAACACTCGCGACACTGTACACAATGCAATGCGGACGTCCCGATTTGCTCGCTGTGTTCCCTTTATGTACACACCTAAACGAAATGACAACGGCTCTTCCCCGGTTTTCCCGTTCGACCGCGCGCGCGCAAGAGAGAGAGAGAGAGATCGACTCTCCGCCGGTGTGCGTAGCTTCCGCTTTCCGATTGACCTGCAGCGGATCGAACGAGAACGGAGACGTCGTTGTCAAAACTGTAATCGCCGGCGCACGTCGACTACCTAGTCGATAGGTCTCGTGGAAACGACAAGCCGAGATCTCCGGCAGCACCGCCGCTCCACATTCAGAGCGTTAAACGCACGGGTAAAGCGCGCGTGTCGGCCGAGCTCATTTGTAACACGCGATACGTACGAGTCCGTCGCTCATTCAATGTCACATCTCATCGGCCGAGAATTACACGGGCTGCGTGAGAGCCTCTTTTATTCCGAGTTCAGACGTTAGGATCCAACGCGGATACGCGACGTTGAACGTGACCGCCGTGTGTCGTCGTCGGCCGATACAGCCGCGTTCAAACGAGCGAGCTCATTGGCTCATCACGGCGCTCGTGCCGCCGTGAATTCCGATGTGTGTGGCTATTTAACAGTCGGCTTCTCCTCGCTGATAACGGTGACGTAACGCGGCGGTCGACGCATTCGACGGTTATCGTCCGGCTCGGGATTGTGGGCGTTTCAGGCGTATTCCGTGTCTCCTCGTCAGAACGCTGCTCGTCGATGCACGCACGCACACACATGCCCCCGACTATTCGGCTTTCATTCGTGATGCATAATGCGCCGATCGCGTTCAATGTCAGCATCTCCGTCGCCCCGCTCGGCCGAGTGGTCACGCTCGCGGCTTCAAAGATCGCGCGTACGTATATTCGCACGCGTCGCGTCAGACGCGCACTTGTCAGCTGAATCGGCCGCCGACGATTCCTGAGAAATTTACACACTCGCGAAGCGTAAGAATCTCACACGCGCGCGTCTCAACGTACGTTTTCAACGTGTACATAAATTTCTTGGATTAGTTCAGGTAAAGGGGGAGAGGGGGCAATGATCTGTTCCTTTCAGCTGGACCGGCTCTGGTTCAGGGAATTTACGTGAAAACACCGAGGCGCGAGGCGCTTCGTACGCGCGTGTGTGTGTGTGTGTGTGTAAAGAACTCGGTCGAACGTCCATGGGCAGTGGTTTTAAATGTTTTAAACTTCTAACTTACCGCAAGCCCGATTGCACGTGTATATGTCTTAGGGTCGCAGCGATTTACCGTTCCGGGGGGAATGGGGAAACCGGGGAAGTTCCGATTCCGAAAAGGTGGAGTAATAATCGCCGTCTGTCGGGATCGAAAGTTTTGGAGCCCCCGTAGGAACGATAAATGGCTGCGCACCCTGGGACCGTGTATATCCGCAATCCGGGTCGGCGAGTATTTCGATCCGAGGACGCCGAAATTCGGGTGCGAACTCCTGCGGAGCGGAAAAGATGGGGAAAATTTCAGCGAAACTCTCTCGAATTAGCGCGGTCGGTTCAGCCGGAGAAGAACAGACCGTCGATCGTCGACAACCCCGGGATTGATTCGCGACGCGTTTTCGCCGCGTTAACCGACGAATGTCACACGGGGTCGCATTTAAAAGTCCACCAAGCTCGCGTGCTATGTGCGCGATGTCCGTGTGATCGATGACGAGAATTGATTCGCGAAACGGACGACGTATTAAAAGTCCACACGCGCAACCGTGGTCCGTTTTTGAGCGCGCTTTTCAGCGCGCATCGATGCCATCGATTCCGATGCCGCGATATTATTGGCTCCGTGCTTTCGGCTGCACTTTTTGCACCCTGTTTATCTCCTTCCCCGACGACCGCCACGCGCCGCATTCTCAGCGCGCAGAGGGTGCAAAAAGATGCCGTCCGGCGGTAACGGCGTGCCCATTACCGCGTAATCGTGTTCAACGCTGAACGACATCACCGAGACGGGCGATTACCCAAAGGATAGCGGAGCCCCACGCAGAAACGAGAGAATACGAGATGGGGTAGGACGAGAGAAGGACGAAGGCAGCGTGAGAGAGAATCGATCGGTAGGACGTCGTCGTGGCGGTTTTACACGCGGCGGACGGAAAGCCGAGAATCTCTCTCTCTCTCTCTCTTTCTCTCCTCGCAATAGGGCTACACATTTAGGGAGCACAGGTCGGCCTCCGGATCCTTTGTTCACGGACGACACTGTTCCTTACGACACGCAATAAACCGACCGCGTTCCTACCCTCGGCACTCTCTCCCTCTCGCCCAGCCCTTTCCCATGGAAATCTATTTTCGTCGTCGTCAGGCAGAAATTGAATTCTTCCGGAAAAAGAGCCGACGCGCACGCACACGTCGTCGTCGAAACCGCCCCGGGCGCACTGGCTCTCGGCGACGGAAGCGCGTGACGAGCGCCGGAAACAACTACGCCGGTTGCCCTTTATTTACTCACCCACTCCGCGCTCGTCCACGGATCGGCGATCGCGCGCAGCTTCCGCGGGGAGATCGTTCCGACGGTGGTTCTCCCGGTTCCCGGCGACGCCAGAGACGCCGATGACGACGGTGGGCCGACGAGGGACGTTTGTATCTGCCATGCACCGTACGTACACACAGCACACACTGTGCGACGGCACCGCTCGCTCGCGAATGCGTGTCTGTTAGCGGAGCGCGAGAGAGAGAGAGACGCGCGCGCTACGCTTCGCGCGTATCGTCACCGCGGCACAACGGCCGTCACACGCGGCACGCGTGCGAGTCCCTCGGAGCGACCGAACTCACCCTCAAGACTCTGCGACCCTCACCCTTGCGCCCCTCGCGTGGTGGGGAGTGTGCCACGGCACTCCCACGTTCTCTCCCCGCAATTGGCTCAAACGATCCACCACCATGTTCAGCCAAGTGCGCGCGCCGCCACCGACCGTCGAGAGAGAGAGGGAGAGAGTTCGCTAACGGGGTTGCAAACGTGGAGAGATCGAGGTTGTTGCTTTGCTCGATTTGTGTTTGTTATGAACGACGTTCGGCGATGATCGCGCGATGCCTTTTAATTCGTTCAGGAATTTCGGCTACCGCGCCGATGGACTCGAGCGAGGAGAGGATGATTATTTATCGAGCTGCGAAATGAAAGAGGGCAGATGTCAATTTGCTCGTCCCGAGACGACGAAATCAACGGAGCGTGAGATCTCGTACGATCGAGAGATCGAGGTTTTCGTATGGATTTTCACATACATTCAGAGCGGCGAACGCGCATGGACGGAATACAAAGAGACCGAGAGAAGGCACATGCAAGCAGTTTTGGAATACGTAATCTCTATTTTTAAAAATGCGGGCTCAAGAACGGTTTGAAAATAAACTCTCCGGATCTGTCATACACTCTTACGGACTCACCGTCAACTCGCTCTTTCTTTCGTTCTTTCTTCTGTTAATATTGTTTGCATTTGTGTTATAAATTTCTATCGCGGAAGTGCCTTTTGTTGATTTACTTGGGAGCCGAAGTCGAATGAACTAAGAATCAAGTCGTTTCAGGCACTCACCGTTGTTCCATCTTGCGCCTCGTCCCCTCCGTTCTTCCTTCTCGGCAATCGTCTTAGCACTGAAAAAATCACTAATAAACGTTATGTTGAATCGTCAAACTGCCTTCTAAACGTGTCGCACGTTTTAGAGCGATATGCTGCCATCTAGAAAGGTTACCTCGCGTTATGAAGTGAAATCAATGCGAACTATTTTACCGCCGTCGGGTCGGTAATACAGATCCGTTTAAAATAATAAAAGTATAAAAAAATTGTAAATAAAATCCTTCTTTTAAATTCTATCGATTTGATCTCGACACTAAACCTTGTTGATCTCCCTCTGTTATATATTTTCCCCTTTCCTTTCCATTAGAGAATTTCATTACGTCTTTCTCGAATTTTTTATCATTAAATCTTAACGTAAAATTCAAAAAGTATCATTATTTTACATTATTATTGAGAAGCTACGCTGTCAATAAAGTATTTATCTTCCATTTTTTATTCGACTAAGAATTTATCATAGGAGAATCACTCACGTCGAGCTGTTACTTGTCGAGTAAGTCGCATCAGATGTCCAATCTGTAACCATCCAATGCGCGAACCGTAATATAGTTCGTTAGATAAGCAAATATCACCCGTTGCTTCATTTGATAAAAATCTCATAGTGGCGCGATACAAGCTACGTATCGATACTTTATCGTTTGTTAATAAAAAGATCCAGTTGAAAGATTATAAACAAAAATTATACTTAATAGTTATTTTTGCAGTCTTAACTTCGGTGGCAGAGCATTTAATTGGAAGAAGTAAGAATAACACAGATGGACAAAACAATTTATTACAATTTAAACAGTACTTAAACAACGCCCTGTACACTGCAAGTTTCAACGAATTCTGAAAAAAATATTCTTCATTCACTAGAATTAAGTGAATTTGGACTGGCGAGTGTGGAAGTGCCACGTAAATAAGTGACTATTAGTGAACGTAATAATATTAAACGACGCTTTGTCGGTAACGATAAAATAAAAAAAAAAAGGGCGAAAGAAACGAGAGAATTTCTGAGGGATGAACGAAATCGAGCGTAACAACTTTTCAAAGCTTCCGCCGTGTATCCTTCTTCAATTCCATGTTCACCTCGGAAAAGCTCCGTTTAACGTGACCCTTTATCCATCCGTCGATCGGCAAGCTCAGTTGTACGCTGCTTCGCGTCACGGCATCGCAACTTTCGGCTGAATTAAAACTCCGAGACCAAGTGTCAATAATTCATTCGTCAGCTGGGTAACTTCCTATGCGCTCGAAATAGTCTTCGGCGAACTTATCGGTGAATTCGTCGAGATTCACCGCAGGCGTTGCTAAAAATTCCCCGGGTCGCGGAGGTTCAATTCGAGGATAATTGCGAGGTGTACGCGCAGCTAACTCGAACTCCTCGCGTCCCACGGCGTAGTTTCGAATTCATAATATCGTGCGGCACGTGAGAGGAAAAGCGCCGCGCGAGTTTGAAACATTCATGATTGAGAAACACTTTCCGACGATTCCGCAGGTGTATCGCGCAGGTGCAGGACGTGGCCTAACAGGCCTTCGCTTTCCGTTAGACAGCCGCCGACGTTGAACGTCCGTGATCTCCACTTAGGAAAAAACACGACGTCATCGTGATTTCGGAAGAGGAACGACGCACGTCTATCGACCGCAATTCGACCCGCAATTGACCGAAAAAAAAAACAAGAAAAATGTCATCGGACGAGTCGTTCGCGAGTGTGATCCACGTGAACGTCGCGCTGCTGCGGCTCTCCGGCGTGGTGTCCTGCGGCGGGAAAGCGACGGACGTTCGCCGGGCGCGAATCCTGCAGACGGTCCTCGGGACGGTCGCTTACGGTTGCCTGCTGACGTACTCGCTCCTGTACACCCGCGAATTCATCCTGTACACCGTCCACCTCGGCACCTGGATGGAGTCCTTGGCGATGATACTGTCCGTCATGGGCGGACAGGCGCGATTCACGATCATCCTGCTGTCCCAACGGAGATTTCGCCGCTTGCTGACGGTGTGCGAGGAACTCTGGCTGACGCTGAGCGCGAGGGAAAAGGGCCGTGTGCGCGATTGCATGAAAGGGACGAGACGGCTGACGTATTACTACGTGTTCGGCTGCGTCTTCACGATCTTCTTCTACGCCGTGGCGAACCTCTTCATGAAGTCTCGGCACGACGATTCGCCGGCGAACATCAGCCGAAGCCTGCCGTACGTCTGTCCGATCGACGTACACCGGACGCCCTATTACGAGATTACGTACGCCATGCAGTTGTGCAGCATGACGAACGTCGGCCTCACCTGCGCCGCCACGGACACCATCGGCCCGGTGCTGATCCTGACGGTCAGCGGCCACTTCAAGGTGCTGAACTCGCGAATTCAACGGATCTGCGAGCGAACGTGCGATAAAGAGGGGAAGTCGCGTGAGGACGCTACGGTGTTCCTCGAGGTAACGGCTTATGGGATGAAAGGAAAACCTATCAATTCAAGACTCAGGTTCTCACGGCTAGAAGCGAGAATGTTTAATCTTACACGAAGATAAAGCTCGCTCACAGCAAAGGAGGAAATTTCGATATATCTCTATGTAGTTACACGGGAAATAGTATATATTCTTGTTGTTAAAGAATAATTTCCACGGGTTGAGAAAAAGAATATTGGATGGTAGGAACGACACCTTCGAACTAAGAATTGCATCAATTTCGCAGATATCGTTCTTTCTATTTAATATTTCTTCCACTTAATTTGTAGGAACTGCGAACTTGAATAATAAGAATATATTTTTAGTGGGACTGTATGGGATTTCTTCACGTAAGCAAATTTCATCTTTGTGTAAGATTATATATTCTTGCTTGTAAATGAGAATATGAGTCTTAAATTGATTGGTAATTTTTTTTTTTCTACGAAGGACACGTCGAGAAGTGATCACGCGATGCTCGATCTCAAAGCTTGCGTGCGTTATCATCAGACGATACTCGCGTAAGTGCGCACAAATCACATACAGAAAAATACGTATTGCATTCCAATAAATATGACTTGTTTCAAGTATTACATAAGTTTATACATCCGCAAGTATAAGTTCACCATAAGCGCCAAATTGGTCTCAAATATATTCTGAGTCCTAGTAAGTTTGATATTTCAATCAAAAATATTAAATTGAAACGCTGAAACGAAAATTTCGATTTACTTATTCTAATTAACCGAACTTAACTTGTCTTTGATCAAGTCTTCTTTTTTGCCCCGTAATTCACCGTAAGACTTGCAAAACATTTCAAACGATACTTGGGCGTTTCGTTCGATTGACTTGATTAATAAACACGTTGTGTGAATAGATTTTGCAAGGAAGTCGAAAAGCTAACCACCGGTATCTTTTTATCACAACTGCTCACCAGCACGTACAACATCTCTCTCGTAGGATTTAAATTAGCGGGGGTAAGAAATCAAAAATCAAGAAGCGTCGATGTGTCATCCTCTTGATTAATTGTAGCGATTGTGAGAAAATACATAGAAACTAAATTTGACTATACGACTACTTGACTGACTATTCAAATAAATCCAATTTATATCTCATGTAAATCCTACGAACGTTATTATCTGTGTAACAATTACAGGATGACCCGGACAAGTTTAAGTACACGACACAAGTCTTGATCGCAGCGATCCAACTATTTTTGAGCAATTGGCCGGCGGACGTTCTGCTCACCGAGGTAAGTAAGCTCGCTATGAAATTAATTTCCAGCAATTCCAGCTCAAAATTAAGGTAAATTCGGTAAGTTAATTCTTATTTTTAATTAAATTAATTTAAAAATTAATAGCCTACAAATGAATGTAATCAAGTTAAAAGAGACATGTTCCTACTAGATACGAGATGCGTTGCGAGATTCATCGGAAAATAGTTGCAACCTTTTTTTGTGACTGAACCATACAGACGCAATTTTTACTGGCGCGTGTCTTCATGTTTCAGAGCAATGCTGTGGCGAAAGCGGCATACTTTACTTCATGGTATCGGTCTCCGTACCGATTAAAGAAATCTCTACATATAATTACGATGAGATCTCAGAAAGCGGAACAGTTAACTGCCGGCTATTTCGTGCCGTTATCCTTGCAAACTTTTGCGTCCGTACGTACGTCCTTTTGCATGCTTAAATCAACCGTCGAGTAACAGACTTTTTACGACTTTTTACGAGCGATAAGACGTCATGTTTCAGATGGTGTCGTCCGCGGCATCCTTCTTCACCATGATGCGCAGCATGAATTGATGTTATACTCTATCGATTTAATCCTCTAACGGCAAGCTGGAGTTTCAACGTATCCCGGAAAGTGGGATTGGATCCGACCCCATGCTCTGTTTTGTTCATTTTTCACGCCATCAATATACAAAAGGGGCAAAGGAAGCAAATAATAACATAAAATGTTCACCTTAACCTGTTAACCGAGCGGGACGTATAAATACGTCCGTGTTGCGTAGTTAAAAAAGGAATTCCCCGGTTAACAGGTTAAGAAGAGAAACAGCGCGTGCACGCTGTAAACGAGCCATGGGGTCACATCCGACCCCAACCTTACCGTTAGAGGGCAAAGCGTTTTTACGTTATAGATTTACATTATGGATAGAACTTGCGTATAATTGTTACAGCGTTGATGTTTACGATTGTTATTGTATCAAAGATAGCGAGTCAAAAGTGAGCAGACGAAAGCTACAAACTTTATAACGTGGTTTTTCTACCGACACTTAATTTTTTCCCATGAGACTATTTATAAAGGATTTTATACGCTAAGAGTAGAGTGGACCGTGGCTTCTGACGGAGAGGCGGAAACTTACTACTAATTAATACTTAAAGACTGCACGTCATCGTGGGAGAAAGAGTAAAAAAAAATAAAAACGAAATATACGACAAAAGCGGAAACGGAGAACTCATTAGATACACGACGACGGGCTCTTTCCCGGATTAGCTTTGAACGCTATACGGTATTCGTAACGTTGACAACGCCGGGAGATTTAACCGCGGGAACACTCCGCGGCTCTGCTGCTGCGATTGCTTAAAGTAACGAGGCAGGCGTTAACCTCCGTGGGAAACTAATCCAAAGAAAATGTCGGAGAGAGAAAGGCTTTCGATGTAACTCTTGGCTTAAGGCGGGCATCGATCATTTTCTTTTTCCGTTGCACCCTCGGCTCGTACGTGTCGAGAGTTGCTACCCTGCCGCATCGCGAGAAATACGGTTAACAGAGCGCTGTCCATCCCACAGGAGGGAGGATCGAAGAGAGCCATGCGGCACATGCGCGAATTACGAATCTAAAGCCGAATACCGCCAAAAGCCCGAAAGTGGTATTCAGGATGCCTCTGCATGGAAATGTACGATAAAGAAGAGAATAAAGCGATGACGGAACGGCTCAAGATTACGAAGTATCTCAGCCGTGAAACTATGAAGGTCCACTCACTCGTTGCTTCGCAACTTCAATCGGCTCGCTCGTATCATTTCTTCGGCGAGAAGACACTCGTCGAAATTTGTAGTACAGAAAATAAGTGGAGAAAGCATAAAAACTGACACAAACTGTGGTAAATCAGCCATGTTTCTCGGCTGTCATCGGAGTTCACAAGTCGATGATCGATTCGATATATCGATGATTGATTTCTCGGACGATTCGATAGTTATTTGAAAGGAAACGTGTAATAATTTTCATAAGACTGTCATATATTTTAGTAAAGGAATGTTGCTGATTTGCAGGAAACGAAACAATATATCGGATTTGGTGTTTCTCCTCTACGGAAAATAAATCACTGACAAATAATTCGAGATTCACGGAGTGGTGATCATTTGTCAAATAACGACGGTTTATAAATACCGGCCGAAATATCGACTCGGAGTATCCCTGACACAGTAATTCAAGGCGCACAGCGTACGTATCGAGGATATCAACGCGCGGACATGAACGTGACATGAAAATCGGCGGGATACGACGTTAAAAATGCGTCAGGCAGGAAGGTCAACGAGGTTCTACGTGCTTGTTTTCCTTTTCTTCTTTCCTCTCTCTATATAAATTTTCAACTATTAAACGCGCGTCAAAATAAAAGGACGATCCTCGACGATCCATGCGCGAAGCAGAAGGACGGAGAAGAAGGAAAGACGTGATAGTCGATAGCGAGGGCAATCGGACGCCTTCGATGCAACATTATTGTACTAACGAGCGAGCCTAGCAACTTCTCGCGGGGACGTGGCTTCTTTGCTTTTCGGCCAATCAATTTCCCCTTTCTCTTTATCGCAGAATGAAACTCGCGCCTTATGTACTTACGCGATAAATACAACTCGACGCTACTGCTTGGTCCATTTTTATTCCGACACAGAGAAGAAATGAGGGCGAACGAAGGGTACGATTCGCCCACCGTGCGTCTACCTTTTGTACCTTTAATTTTTCCCCCACGTTCCTTACTCGTGTTTATTTGCCACAAAAGAGACTCGTGTTGTGTTCTGTGCTTCCTGCTTCCTGTGTGCCGCGGCGTTAGACGAGCCGGCGAGAGTGTGAACGAAAGTGTCGCGCGTTTGCGGGGTCTGTATGGACGGGAAAATCTACGAGGTGAAAACGATGAAACGTAATCTCCTTTGAGATAAAAAAGAGAGACGAAGTGTGGCACCGAGAGTGGGCGGAAGTGGAAGGGACGGAAAGGGGAAGAAAAAAAGGAGGGAGAAAAGCGTGTGAAATGATGCGGTAGATAAACGGACAGGCCCCGTAGATTCGCCGTAGGATATCGCGCGGACTCATTGCCTTTCATGAGGACGGCAAGAGTATTCCCAAGACCGATGGTCAATTCCGGATCCCATCCAATTCTTTTCGTAAAGTACACCCGGCCCGAACCGCCACGGCGGATTATAAATAAAGATGAGGAACAGAGGGAATAAATGTAACCGGGTGGCGATACGCTCTCGAGGACTAGTTTCTTAATTTTCAGCAAGCGCATTTTCCAGCCGACGCATCCTTGGGAAGGACTCCTTCCCGAACGTCTTAGCGTTGTTCGCGGAGCTGAGCTCTTGCGAAAGGTTCTTCGGACGAATTTCTGATCGGTCGAGACAAGACCGATGATTGGGCATCTATTTTGACGAACGCTACCGTCTGGCCTTCTGACGCGATTACGAGCGACACCGATGCGACACGCAAGGGGTAAAATTCTACACTCCCTTCTCCGCAGCCCTCGCGTCTCATCGCGCGAAAAGCGGAGACCCGGGGGATCGCTTGGGTTCCGCGCGAATTGAATAAACCTTACGACTACGCGTTTCCAGGGAAGGTTCGCTTCCCGTATTAATTATAGCGCAGGTTGAGAGCAGCATCTGCCGGTGACGGCATCGTCTCGTACGACGAGAAGGTGTGGGCAAGTAGATGAGGGTGTCGGAAAAGGACGCGCCGGGGAGAACGGAGAGGGAGAGAGGTACGCGAAGGAGGCGAAGAAGATGCGGAAAAGCGCTTCTGAAGGGGGGAGGTGGTAAGGAAGAGAGCCGGAACCCTCCGATGCGGTGGCGCACAATAAAGAAATTCCACGATTTCCAGCGGGGCGATACCGGACGCGAGCGCGTTGTCATCTTCGCATACCACCACCATCACCGTTCGCTCGCTCGCTCGTTCGTTTGACGTTCGAACGAAACTCTCGAGCTCTTCGAGTTAATGAAATCCATCGGCGCCAAGCCACCCTCGCGAATCGACCGTCATCTCGCGCGCGTGGGAGACTCTACCGCGGCTGAAAAAAAATTAAAAATTGCCACCCGACGCGCCTCCGTTCGTCGAGCGAATCGAGTCCCGCTCGGTCCTCCTCGAAAAGTCATTTCACTCGCAATGACGCGAATAATTTTGCCGGGAACACTTCGAAATCAGCTTGAGAGCCTCGTGAGAATATCGAGAAATATAATTTTGCTATCCGTGACCTCTCTCTTTCTCTCTCTTTCTCTCTCTGTCTCTCGCAGAGAGCGTTCATACGGGCTCGCGTGTCGCGCTCGATTTCGCTCGAGCCCCGCGACAGAGGATGATGGAGGGTTAATGATTTTGCGGGATGACGCGATTGAACGGTTGAAGCTTCTCGCGGATGGAGCGTGCGAGAGAGAGAAAGAGACAGAGAAAGTACTCTTCGAGATCGATACGGCCAGTTGCCACGAGCAACGTTGCTCGATTAGCAAACTATCTCGAAAAAATCGCAGTTCGGGCGGAAGCTCGCGACGCGAACTTCTCGGAGCTCCGGAAAGAAAGGAAGAAAGAAAGGAAACATGATTTCTTTGTAAAAAGCAACAAGTAATTCGAGGGGCGCGAGGACGACGATGGTCCTCTCGTGAGTCCGTCACATACGTAAGTCCACACACGAATGCCTCCCTTTTTGTTCTCCCTCGATTTATGCATCTCGGCGTTTGAGCGACGAGAGTCACACGATCGATGAACGCAGAGACGCGATTTCGTTCGGGGATCGTCGTGCGTGAGGAGAGGAGACGGTCGAATCGGAGGAGTCACGAGGAGAACCCACGCACGTGGGGTCGGCGGAGCTCCCTCGAAACGAAGGACGACGAAGGAGACAGACTTGGACTTGGATGGAGCCGCCCTCCCGTCGTAGTCGCTTCGTCGTAGGAATTAAATTGCGACTACCGAACAAGCCAGGTCGAACCCTGTCTTCGTGGCCTCGACGGGGAAGACGTCTCGGGAGCGACTCGGGCGAGAGAGAGAGAGAGAGAGAGAGACCGTGCGGATCGTAACTCGCGACGTCCCCGTCGTATTTGCAGGTAGTGTTGACTCATTGAATTCTATTCATCGAGCATCCGAGTTGCGCGTCACTCAATTACGCGTTTTCTCAGCCTCTCGCCCTCTCCCCTCCCTCCTCCTCTCTCTTTCTCTCTCTCTCTCTCTATATATATCTCGTCCGGGGACGAGTCTCTCTTTCATGGCCTCTCGATTTCCGTACAATGTACTATTTGGCATCCATTGTGCTCGATGACTGCGCTCTGCGTCTGCGGCACCAGTTATATCAGAGTTTATATCAGAATTATCGATGTCTTATCGCGACAGTTTTACGGAGAAAAAATGCTGTTGAGTCGACAGAATTTTTCCAACGGCACGACGCGTAATTGGAATTTCCGATTTTCTTGTTTTGGGAATTTAGATTTAAGTGTGTATCGTGTAAGGACCCACCAAAAAGAAATATTCGTTTGTTTTTGGATATTTTTTTTTTTAAGTGTATCGAATATTTCATTTTATGTGATTACGTCAGAATTAAAATACATCGGTAAAATACTAGCTCCTTTTTATCCATTGCGCAGGTTCCGCCGGATGAAAGACTCGATCGTAAAAATTCATCGCAAGATATATCTGAGGTGACAACAGATGAACGCGATGAACATCGAACTGTCGCAAGATTTCCACCGCCGACGGGATAATGACAGGGATGATACGTGAGGAACATCGTCGTTCGCTCTTCATCATCATTCATCGTGTAATTAAATCGTAACAAAATCGTAAGAAAAAAACCCTACTAGAAACTATCACCTATTAGAAAACGTCAAGGTTATCAAGATTATCAAGTCAATAATCCCCAGAACGGAACAAACTCCCAGGGGGCTTTAATATCTTCACTCTCTCTATACATTACTCGTGTGACATCGGTTCTTTTGGTTCTAAAAATTCCGTAATGTACTTTCAACAAACACTCTTTATCTTTCCCTTCCTTTCTTCCTTTCTTACCTTACTTGTACATTCATGAAAATAAAATCAGAAAAAACCGGCACTTTGAGTAAGTGACTTTTAACTGCATCGCGGCCTATATAATATCGTAACGAGCGATTACGCAAATATCCGATTAATCCTAACGACGAGTGATTGGGTCGTCCGCCCTTATCTAAACGCAAGAATCATTAATCAAAGCGACCCGACGAGTGATTAGATGGCTGATGAAGAAGCTAACCTTAGGCGATCCCGATGCGATCTTCTCAGTCAATACGTTGTTATCCCGATGACGACTTTCGAGCCACTTCTACATCCATTAGCGAATCCTCGTAGCTAATCGTGTCCGCCGCGTGCCGCGAAAAAGCCGCGGCACCGATTAGCGGCTTAGCTTCTTTAGCAACAAGTTGCACCTCGTGTGTTTTCCCCGGAGTTTCCTAAAATCAACAAGTGAACTCGCTTCCTGCCTGGAATTTCTATATTGCTTTCTCGTTCGACTCCACAGGTGGCAAACTGGCAGGACGACTTGCTGAGAACCGGTGCGCGTCGGTCCGCCGTTTATATTTGCCTGCCACGAGAACTCCCGCGGCTGGGAAAACGCGTCTCTCGAGTCCGGCCTCTTACTTTTTATCGGCCAGTGTCGCGAACAATTTTACCGGGCCGATGTCGCGAATGAGCGTACACGACGGCCGCCGACGCTACGGCGAAATGTACGCCGCTATCCTTATCCTTGGAATGTGTTAAGAGCCGTTTTAATAAAGAGCAGACCCCGAGCGATGAGGAGTCATATAGAGAATTCTTCGCGATCTTTGCATTCCGGCGTAGCCTCGAAGTAAATTCCGCGTGGGTCGCGCCATTCCTAAGCGGCCGAAGTCGGGGAATCTTGATTACGTTCGTGTGTGCCATGTTAGAGCGGAAATTACGAAACGACTCGGCGGCTTTCGTCCGATTTTTATGAGTCTCCGGGAGCACCTGGATCTTTCCGCTCGACGAGAGCACAAAATGCTGAGAAGCGAATTGTTCCTATTTTTCTCCGAGCGCCGAGTAACCATTCGAGAATTAACCGGCAACCGACTCACGGATTCTTGCGAAACACAGAAAAACGAATAAGTTGCGAATGATCAGTGCCGTTCCCGAAAATAGAAAATTGGCCGATTTGTGAAAATGGTCGAATCAGAGAGAAAGAAAGAGAGGGGAGTCGATGATAACGAAAAAACGGTAACAAGAGGGTGACAGGGGGCGTCGGCTTGCACCTCGATGGAGGGAGACGAATAATGCCGAAATGGACCGCGCGAAAGAGGAACTCGCTGGCTCCAGGGTGGGGAACGACGAGAGGGGAACAAACAACGAGTGGAGAGGTAGGGCAAAACGTCTCTCAACTTATTTATTATTTTGAAGAAAAAAAAAGAGAGAGAGAAAGGGGGGAAGGGAAATGAGACAAAAAGCAAGAGAGGGGGAGGGAGAAGTACAAAACAGAAATATCACACACTGTTGTTACATCATGTAAATACGCGTGTTACCTCCGTGTGTGTGTGTGTGTGTACATGTGTGAGTGCGTGTGTGTGTGTGTGTGTGTGTGTGTGTCGCGTATACGACACTCCATATATACGTGTGTGCGTAATGTGTAAAACAAAGAGAGACGAGTAGACAGAGCGAGAGGAGGGTGGCAACCGGGGCGAGAGGGAGAAGGAGCGAGAAGGCGCGAGGAAGAGAGAGGGACGCGAAGTGCCGGGGGGTGAAAAGCGGGGAACCCAGTGACCATGCGCCCTGTGGCGGCTGTGGGGGCTTCTGGATCTTTTCGAGGATCAAGAAGAGGACGTCGAAGAAGCACGGGAGACGCAGACGGTGGTGGACAGAGAGAGCGACGGCTCCGGGCCGGCACGAGGTGAGATGCGCCCTTATCGCCCTTATCGCTCTCAATCGTCCGTGCAGTTTCTATCGGGGTGCCCCGACGCTCCTCGCCAGCCGGGACACAACCTCGACGACTAACAACGATAGCGGCGATACAGGACCGGAGAACAGCCCGCCCCGAGTGACCCGGCTGACACACCGGTGAGTATACCTTGAGAATCGTAACGTTACGCAGTGAGCAATGCCGGATTTCGGGAACGCGACGTCCGACTCGTCAGATTCGGAAAATGGAAATCAGGGTTGCGTGCGGACTTCGGAAAAATGGTCGTACAGTCGCGACGGTTTCCGCGGTAATCGCGACGCGCCGGCAGAATCGCGACGGCAGTCGCGACGGGAATAATTTTGTATTTATTTCTTTTCTGTGTTACCCGTTGTGTGAAATCGCTGCGCGGCTGTCCAAGCGACAGAAGGATAACGAAATAAAGATCGTATGTGTTATCTGAATCGTAAGAACGCTAAACGACAGCGGCTCAGAGAATTTCTGGGATGCTTCCTATCGCGACGCTGAATGCGCTTCCTCGGAAAATGATCTGTTTTTTTATTTCGTATAATTACTCGAAGCGGCGTTTGTACATGTATCGTTCCGCATCATCGCATAAAACAGTCTCTGATTATTTCATGCGGCAGAGGGTGGGGTTAAATGGCTGCATAGAAGAGTTACAGCGCTGTTAATAATCTGTGTCGCGGTATAATGCAAGAGAGGAGTTTAAATCGCTCGATGGAAATATTACACTTGACTGAATTATTATTTTAATAGATATTAATTAAGTCCAATTAGTAAGCAATCTTATTAATTAAGTCCAATTAGTAAGCGAGTTATTTATTAATTAGAGCGATGATTATTGCACGACACGTTTGATCGTAAAATGCCAACTTATCGACGCGAGCGATCGCCTCCACCTCGCGAATTAAACAGATAAACTTTAGGTGTTGGACAAATTTTCACATCCTCGAGTTTACCTCGAGATGCGAGAGACACGTTTTTTTCGCAATCTCCCAGTAGTATATATTTTTCACGGCATCATACGTGTATTTGCGTGAAGGCTGAGTATTATATGAAATTAAATTAGTATATTAGAGGACCTGTTCAAGTCGATTTTTTAATTAACCGTATGAAGCGCCCATTTTAAAGAAAAGTTACTAAAAACGATATCTAAATTCGCGCGAATCAAATACATCAAGTATCAAATACAGTATAATAATCGTATATCGATTCACTAACGGATCCTTTGGTACGCGATTTATGGAAACTCCTTATTAAACGTCCGAGCATCACCGATTTACAGTCATGCTCGTGCATTTCCACGTACATAACGCACGGTGTGGCCGTTCAATCGCGAGTTTAATTGTCCCACGCGCAACCTTGGCTCAGACGAGGAATTCGGCGATCGCCGGTTGAAGTCACCCCCCGGGTGTTAATCGCGCTCTCACACGCAAGTTCCCGTCTCGCGTGGTCCACCGGCGACTCACTTCAACGCGTTGAGGGCGCGTCGTCGGGGCGCTATTCACCCACGGGGATTTTCGTCCGCTCGCCAGTGTCTTTGACTCGTTGACACGTCTCCGAGGTCCGGCCGAGACACTCGCTGCTGATCCCTCAGTCGCGTAATACCGGATTTCCCGATCCGCGATCCGCGGCGGGAGCGAGAACAAAACGCCCTCATTTCCACGTGTCAGCCGCAGCGCCCCGGCGGAGCCGATCTTTCTTTCCCTTCGCGAGTCCGCGTCAAAGCACGCTCGGTCGGACGACTCAGAATGGCGGAAGGGTCGACAGACGCGGTCGGAAGACACGAGACGTGCAGCGAGTACCGTCCTGAAGAGGAGATCTCGTTCTCCCTGCGGGTTGCTCACTTATGACGGGCCCGGCGTTTCACCGGGAATATGTTTCACCGATACCGCTTGGAAGTTCGGGAACCTGGCGCGACGGACTCACCACGTGAACGCGTTGGATAGCAGCGTTGCCCGGCGCTGATAACGAACAGCGAAGCCTCGCGTTGCATAAGTTGTCGTCAAGTTTAATCGTGCAATTTACGCGGGGCAAGGTGACTCTCGAGGAGCCGCCTCGTAGGATCCGAAGAAAGACTTCGTGCAAGACGAGAGAGAGAGAGAGAGAGGGAAGACGACACTCATCCCTTCGTCTCTTTTCGTTGCCGACCTGCTTCTGAGGTGGGAACGCAGTGGCAGAGAGTGAGTGAGTGTGAAACAGAGAGAGAGAGAGAGAGAGAGAGAGAAGAGGGTCGCTCCAACCTCGTAAGGTTAATAGAGTGATCGGTAACAAGGTTATAAAGCAATCTGCATAACCCTGTCCAGTACTTTACCCGACCTACGGGTTTCACGTTACTACGAGCGGTGTCGTAATTACCGGCTCTAATGCGATTACCGGATCGACAAGGCCGGTAACCGTGAAACTCCGTCAAGTCTCTCTCTCTCTCTCTCTCTCTCTCTCTCTCCCCCTCTTTCTTTCTGCCTCCCCCGACCCGGTTTTTAATTGTCTCGTTTTTCCTTCGTAATTAATTCTCGCGCGAGTCTCGCTAAAAGTCGCAGGTGCGGCGGGAAACACAAGGTGATGGTTCGAAGTCAGCGTGTCTTCGCACCTTCTTCGTAGCTCTCAACCCTTTTATGCGTTTTCCCCTTTTTTATACAAAGCTTTGTTTTGGGGGAAAATCGAGTCTGAATAAAACAAAGGAGTAGTAGCGATTATTATTTCAGACCTGGCGACGTAACGAATGAAACAGTCGTATTTATAGCTTCGCTATTCGCGCGTTTCGTGCGATCGGCGGAAGAAACGCGTGAGGAAAGAAGCGATAGGCGGGACAGCGGTAAATTCGTTTACGCACGATCGAAGACGTAATTCTATTTCGGGATTGCGTGTCTGACCTAAAGTCTCGTTTCACGGCTATCCGAGTTTGATTTACATCCGATCCGCTTCCTCGTAGCCGCGTTTTCGACGAAGCGAGAGGAAACGTAACGCATTGCGCTCGAATCGCTTCTAATTTCGCGAGCAACCGGCCACGAACTAAATTGAAATTGATCTATGAAGGCGATATGGAAGAAGCGGCGCGCGCTGTTACAAACCAAGCGTAAACGGATACGCTTCTTTACCGCACGATTTACTCAATCCGACACTCCAACAGCGTTGGCGTTCGATCGTCAAAACATCTTCCGGGAAGAAAACGCGATTTCTTGCATTTATCGTACACATATTTAACAGACTTAACAATTTCCACTCGAGCAAAGGAAAATTATCTCCCACGGCTGAAAACTAACTCCCGGGTAAAAATTAGCTGTCCATATAATACGACAGAAGTTTAGTTTTAACTTTAATTTTAATTTAATTCAGCCAATTCTCTTCGTCCCTGCGACTACTTTTTAGCTCCCACGGCTAAAAACTAGGTCTGATAACTAAATTTCAGTTGTATCATGTAGACAACTAATTCCTTTCTTCTGTGTAATGCGTGATAAAAATTCCACACGATGTGTGAAATATCGATCGTTCGTGTGAAACAGATATTATTTATTATGTATTCAAAGTTATATATATACATATATATATTCAGATATGCATTATGTACTCTCGGTTTACGATATTTCAGCAAAATGCGACTCGTTCCGAATATCTCCCTGTACTTTGACGAAGGCTCCGCATTCCGAATAGAACGAGATGCAAATCGCGTTGATAAATATTCGAATCGCGTAGTCAATATTTTATTTACCTCGGAATCGTAATCCCTATTTAACTCCTTAAAACGCGTATTACACCTGGATTAAAGTGTATCGTTAAAAAAGGAAGCATGCGACGAGAAGCATGGGGGAAAAGTTGCGATGCGTTTCTCAGGGAAATGTAAATACCTCGCATCGGCCGATTTGGAGCTCGCAACGTGATATCGGTTCATTGGAACGGCTGAAATACGTACGTCCTGCGATCTATCCCAATCCGCTCTATCGAACAGTCTGTTTCTTCCCCCGTGAACTTCCCGGGAGCCATTCCGGCAAACGCACGGGAAGCGTGCCCGGTGTGTAAAGATGTTTTTCATTTGACGCGGGATATACGTAGATCGTACATACGTACGTCGTAAGTAAGAGTCACGAAAATTGGCTTTCCCCGTCGATTCGATTTCCTTCTTCCGAACCGGTAACCCCTGTAATCCTATGTTTCGCGTATCAATCGAGGTAGGGAACAAATCATCAATAACCGGGGCGTATTTACATTTGAAGAAAAGAGACCAACCAAGTGGCGGCTGCGGAAGCTTTCGTGATAAGTGATAATTTTCTATAAGAAAGATGCAATGATGTCGAATTAAAGTGCGATCAAGATGCGAACGAACGAAAGTACAGTTAATCCCATATAAACCGTGCATCGATACACAATAATCTCGCATAATAATGACTATGCAACGTGCCTCCCAAAGTTCGACGGTCTCCTTTGAACGCGCGTTGGAACGCGCTAAATTACATTCCGCTCTTGAAACCGTCTCTCGAGATGAGAACGTCAGCTAATTATCGGCACGGCCGTCTTCATTCGGTGAAATTCACCAACCGTCCGGAAATAAATGATATCTCGGAATCAAGAGGACGGGCATTTTTAATTTCGCTCACGACACGGCGGTCGAGGCGAAACGCTCGGCTCTCGGAACGCCCTGTATGAAGGCGTCAAAAACTCCAGTCATCTCAAGAAGACTTCCTTGCATTTCGCGTATCGTTAATGAACAGGTGGTGCCGTCATTATAATAGAGCGAACGGTAGCAGTGCGTCGCGAGACGGCTGGCGAAACGTACGCCGGAGCGCCGTCGTTAAATCTTACGTAACGTGTAATATGAGACTCCGCTTGACGTGTCGGAGCAAACTCGATTCCCCGCGACGTTGAAGATGTAAGTGCATTATAATTCAAAATGCCAAATGTATGTAGTCGTAAAAGCCGATCGTCGCGTGATCGTCGAATATAACGTGCGACGCGTGTGAGTTAAGCCGCGACTGGACGGAAATTCGAGATATTCCGAAATCGGGACCGTAGTGTCCCATGATCAAGCCTACGACGACGGTGTAACTTTGTAACACACTGATTTTATATAGAGGTAATGTGATTTCGCGACGAGATAATTCGCTTATCATGCAATATCGCGCGACAAAGAGAGGAGTCGCCCTAC